GGTTCCCTCAGAGCGTGGGCAGGAGCCATGCGCTGGTGTATGGGCCCGGAGGCTCGGCGCCCGGCTTCCAGCACGCCTCGCACCATGTCCAAGACTTCTTCCACCACGGCACCTCCGGCATCTCCAACTCGGGCTACCAGCAGAACCCGTGCTCGCTAAGCTGCCACGGAGACGCCTCCAAATTCTATGGCTACGAGGCGCTCCCTAGACAGTCCCTTTATGGGGCTCAGCAAGAGGCGAGCGTGGTGCAATATCCCGACTGTAAATCCTCCGCCAACACTAACAGTAGCGAAGGACAAGGCCACTTAAATCAGAACTCGTCTCCCAGCCTCATGTTTCCATGGATGAGACCCCACGGTGAGAAGCCTTTTCTCTTTCCCTCTTGGTCTCCCCGCGCTCGGGGTCTTCCCCCCTCCCTCGCCTCCTTTTTGTCTGCCCTTGCTTTCCTTCCTGGCTTTGGGGGTCTCTTCCACTCCACTCCCGTGCCTGGGTGGGTTCCTGAAGGTTGAAAAGGCTTGGCTGGGGGTGGAGCGGGGGGGGCACCTGAGACATTGTGAGTGTTGGGGTGAAGGTGGGGGAAAGGTGATATGTGGGTGCAAAGGGTTAAAAACCATTTACTCCATTCCTTCTCTCTCTCTCCCCCCCCTCTCTCCCTCTCCCCAACTCTAAAGTCAAAGTTGGGGAGATGGCTGACAAGGGCACCCTAAGTAAACTGAGGTTATCAGTCTTTGGGGTCGATAGCCAGTTTTCCCAAAGACAGTGAGCCAGCCATTCCAAGACAGTGACCAGACTGTGGGTGGAAAAGACCCTTTGCTGTCTCCCCCTAGCCAGAGAGAGGGGCAAGACCCTAAGGACAGGCACTCTGACTCCCTGGGTTCTCCCCCTTCTTCCCCTCAGAGAAACAGTCTGAAGGCCGCTACCCCAACTTTTCCTTACTTCCTCCAGTTGCACAGGAGACTGAAAGACTGAGAAGAAAATCAGTGCTCAAAAAAAGAGAGAGGGACTATACAAAGTAGGGGCTTCTGAGGTCCAGGTGACTAGTCAGGCTATGGGGTCTCTTGGAAAGCTGCTCGGGTCATGAGCCCCTCCAAGGGTGGCCCCTCATGGCCCAATTTCGAAGTACAGGGGGAAGCGATAACGACAAGTTCCGGCAGGGATGGCCCTTGATTTATTTGTTGGTATCCAGTTAGTAATCAGGCAGAGCTGTGGTACATTCCAGAAGATCAATTATTTTTCTTATTGGAAAAGCATTAGGCAGAGATAGCCAAGGAGGGGGCAGTGGGCAAATACCCCTCTCCTTTAACTCCAGTCCTTTTCCTTTCTCTTGGAAACAGAGTGTGTTCCTAGGCCCGCTTACTAAATGTCACTCTGCACTTGTAAACAAAGCTGTAAGGAAGCTGTAAGGGCCAGGCTGTAGGCCTGAAGGACCCTGCAAGGCTCCCTTGACCCCCTCAAGCTCTTACTTTTCAGTCAGGCACATCCTTGCCCCCCCCCCACTCTCCCTCCTCCCAAGGTGAAGGAAATCAAACCAAAACATCTATGGAAACTTTTCCTGCCCTTGCTTGCCTTCTGCTGTCGGCCTCATAGGCAGGAGGAAGGATTGGAAAGAGCAAAGGGGGAACTTTGTGGGAGGCAGAGTAGCTATGTAGGGGGGCGGGCGGGAATTGAGCCCCCACCCAGACATAACCAGACTGGGGTTCTGTTCTGTCCAGCTCCTGGGCGGCGCAGTGGACGACAAACTTACAGCCGGTATCAGACCTTGGAACTAGAGAAGGAGTTTCTCTTTAATCCTTATTTGACACGAAAGCGCCGGATTGAAGTCTCTCACGCCCTGGGACTGACCGAAAGACAAGTGAAGATATGGTTCCAGAATCGGAGGATGAAGTGGAAAAAGGAGAACAACAAGGATAAACTGCCTGGGGCCCGAGATGAGGAGAAGGTGGAGGAAGAAGGGAATGAGGAAGAGGAGAAAGAAGAAGAGGAAAAGGAAGAAAATAAGGACTAGCAAAAAAGAGAGAGAGAGAGAGAGAGAGAGAGAGAGAGAGAATCCCCCCCCAGCAACTCCCTTGAAGTTTCGTTTTATGGTAGCAGATAAATTGAGAAGTTTACGACTGTCATTTGCTTTTATAGAGAATAGAATGACACTCACAACTCTAACTACCTGTCAGATACTTGCAGCTCTACTTTTATTACCTTTGGACCCCCCCTCTTTATTTGTTTGGGGGCGCTGGGGGGGAGACTGAGACACAGGGAAAAGTTCTGTCCCACTCCATGGCCAGCACACACTCACCCAGCACACACTCACTTGTCCTTGCTTCTCCCTTCTGAGCCCTTCCTGAATTTTAAGGTCTAAGCCTTCTCACACACCCCACTTCCCCCCACACACCCACTTCACTGCTCCTGGTATTTATTTCAAAGGGGATCCCCCTGAAGATGTAGAAGATGGTTCTTGGCTTTGCTTGTGTGCTAGCAATTAGAATACTGGATTAACCGTTTTTTAATGAAAGAAAAGGAAAGAATAAAAAAAACAGAATAAAGGGAGATGGAAGGGAAATTTTTTTTTTAAAGAAATAAAAGATAGAAAAGATTCCTTTCTCTCTTTGAGGCTCCTTCTTTAGAAAACCCCCTTGACTTTCTCCAGGAACCTGAGAATCTAGCCATGCCCTTACTGAGTGAGGGGTAAGCAGGGGCCTGCAATGGTCTCTAAAATCCTACCTATTCATGCCATAGTCACTTGGGCCCAAGCCTTCCTTGCCTTGTCCTTGCTGTTTGATTTCTGTTCTTTTGGGCCGGCTTCCTCTGAGCTGTGTTAGTGTTTGTGCTCAGAAATCACCATAATCATGATAGTATACTGATAAAAACTTTAATATACTACCTAAAGGGAACCTGCAATAATATTGGGGGGGGGAGAAAAATCCTATTACAGGAGGAAAAAAAGAAAAAAAAAGAAAAAAGAAAAAAAAAAGAAAGAAACCTTCAACGTATTTTATCACTACCTATAGAAAGAAATCCTGCTTTGAGAGTATTTGTAATGCAGTTTTGTTGTGTTTGTTGCTGCTTATTTCACTAAAGAAAAAAAAAAACCCCAACAACTGAGACTGCCTAGCCCGCTGGTCTTGTGCGCTCTTATTGTGCTTCTAACCCCAGTAGAGTAGAACTAAACTGCACTGAATGTATAGTTACTCTGTCTTGAATTCTCTGTTTATGCAACGTGCTCGAAAGGAAAAAAAACGTTAAAATATATCTATAATAATAATTTTGGGTCATTTGTCTTTATGTCCAGCTATGAATGTAGATTTTGTGTCCTGAAAGCCCTGTTCCTGGTCCAAGTACTTTGTATTGTATATGTGAGTCATAATAAAAAATGAAAGAAGAAAAGAAATGGAAGCTGGAATGACTTGCTGTTTCTCTACAACTCTCCCTCATTTTCTACTCCTCCCCTCCTTGCTCCCTTTTCCAGCCCTGCAAAGGGCCTGGCTTGGAACTCACGTGGAGAGGAGAGGTGCCTGGGAGTGGGGTGGAAAGGACAGGCAGAGCTGGGAGGACAGGTGACTGGCCAGCGGGGTTAAGAGGAGAAGGAAGGGGAGAAAGTCTACTGGAAGAAAGAAGGATTACTTACACTAAGGACTAATGCCAAACAAGAAGGTTTGTAGGTGCTAGGAATCCTGAGGGAAGCCGGAAGCTCATGCTTTAGCCCTTTCATTTCTGGGCTGGGTCCATACAAAGAGTCTGTCCTATGTTCTTCCAGTGACTTATGCCCTTTCTTCTGGGCGTTTGGGATAAGGGTGAGATGATGGGGTTCTTTTCTGATCATGTTACATGTCTCTTGCTTGTGGCCACCCTTTGCCACCATATTGAAATAGTGGAGGGGGTGGGATGGGGGTATTGTGAAGCTAAATGCAGCTGAGTAGTCAGTGTGGGGTGAGGGAGCCTCTGCCTGAGGCAGAGAAGAAGGGAAGGGCAAATGAGTAATCCTGTAGACCAGCCAGGGTCGGCACCCTGGAATTCAAATTCAACCAACACAAGGCTCTCACTGCCACTCAGCCCCCTTGTGTTCACTTAGCCTCTGTTCTGGCTGTTCCAAGCCAGCTACTGGCTGGCTTCACTTTGACCATTGGGCAGCTTGCCTGGCCACCACAGTGAGGACCACTGATTTGGGTGATGGGCCTGTTGAGTGGACAGTCTTCAACCCCAGCCATAGCATGGTAAAGGGAATCTTTACATTTCCTAAAATAAAGAGTTCAATGCCTCAATGCCAGGGCCCATCTAGTAAAGGAATCATTCTGGAGGGTCCTAGCAGACAAATCTGTTTATGCCAATAAAATTCTGCCCAAACCATGCCAAATTCCAGAGATACAAGATGTGTGGCTCAGCCAGGCCAGAGGGAGAGGGCATGAGAGGTCTTCTGGTCTTCAAAAACAGACGCCCAGACAGATATTTCTGAGACCAGATCTCTGGGTCAAGGATTTTTAACCTAGGCCCAGGCCAAGTGTTTCACCAGGGTCCCAATCTCTGGCTCCTATAAAATGATCCAATATTTGTCAGGCGATTTTCCTAGGGGCTGAGAGGCTGCCTGGTGCAAGGACAGGCTGAAGATAACTTTAAGTAGGCGCTATGGGGAGGGGGGTCGATATGTGGAATTTGGGGTCCCTGCTGACAACCAGCTGATTCAGTTAGACTTGGGAGGCATAGGCTGTTGGCCAGGGAGGCCTGAAAACATTTCATTTCCTATCAGACTCTGTGGGACCACCGAGGGAGAGCCGTTTCATTTTTAATCGTGAGATTATGGTTACTATTGGTAAAAAAACACCCTGCCCTGAAGCAGAGTGAGATGAACCCCTCATCAAGCGGCACTGAGGGGCCTCTTCAGCTTCCCCTCCCCCCCCCCCACCAACACACACACACACACACACACACACACACCCACACACACACACACACACACACACACACACACACAACCAATCCTCCATTCATCCCGGGCCTTGCACAGCAATGTCCGTGGCCCTAAGCCGTCGCGTCGAAGGGCGGGTGCGTCTGGCGCCCGGCTTCTCTGGAAATGTGGGGCAGCAGGAGGGTCAAACCTAAGAAGCCCCAGCGCCCCCTCGTGCGTGCATACCCTCTCCCGGCTTCCTCTGCTCACCACTTCTGTTTTCTCGTTTGGAAAGAAAAGGAGGTTAAAACCCCGTTTTATGGGGGAATGTAATTGCAAGAGCGGGATGCGCTCTTTAGAAATGCGTGCTCCTAAATGTTGCTGCCGTCCCATTACCGAAATGGGTACCATTCGGCTGCTGCAGATACGACTTTCTCGCATTCTTTACTTTTTTATTAGCCAATCAAAGTGGCTTCCGAAAGCTATTTGTGATTTGTGAAAAATAGTATCTTTCAAAATGCTGAGTTGAAGCATCTCACTCATTTCGCCTTGGATTTATTATTCTAATCTCAACGGTAGAGACAGGATGATGCAGCTATTAAGTTGGGGGGCAAATTCGTTTCTCGGGATTAAAAAACTATCGCATTTTCTTTCCCTGCTCTTTCACTGAATGCCCAAGGGAGATGGGGGTCTTGGAGAAATCTGGGGCGCCAAAGGAAGTAGTGTGCCCCTGAGGGGCTCCCAGGGGACCCCTTGAAGGAGAGGGTGGGTTGGCCTCTGCAGTCTCATATTCCTGATATGAGATGCCCCCAGAGAATGCCTGAAGGTTGAAAAGTTACCCCAGCCCCAATTAAAGAGGATTCAGGACAGGTTGTGTGTGCCATAATCTGGAAGTAAAATTTCCGGTGAGCTGCCCGGCAGGGCTGTCCCTTTCTCCCGGCTGCCCATTGTGAAAAGCTGGGCCAGCGCTTCCTCGTCGTAATTTTTAACTACCTGTTATAAAATTTATGGGTGGGTTTGTAAAAGAAACGAGGTCTCTGCATCCGGCTGAGGGAACTGCTTTACTTACTATGGAGGAAGTTTGGGGAGGGGGTGAAGGGTCTCCTGTTGGCTGCCTCAGCACTCAGCACTTGAGGTTCCCTTGCCAGCTCAATGCCGACCAAGGAGAGAGCTGCCGGCCTTTAGAACTCCGGTCAGTGGGGAGTGGCTGGGCTACTATGAAGTAATTTATTCTGGTCTCCTCACACTACGCGTACCACCAAAATTGGAGGTCTGGGAAAATGGGGTGCATAGACTTTTAGAGCAGAAGGCAGAATTCGAAGCAGTAAATGACTCTCTTATGGGGCCTGCGAACTCCGAAGCCAGATCCCAGCTGCCCACATAATGAAGGAGAATCTTTTTTTCCCATGAAAAAGACAGGTGTGTGGCAACCTGAGAAGGTGAAAGGGTTTCAAAAGTGCCTTGCTCCTCAATTTAAAAAAAAAGGGAGAACTGAACCAAGATCTTAAACCTTAACATTAGTTTTTAATTCTTTGATGATTGCAAGTTGCCATTGGAAGCTAGAAAACAAGAGGACCTGAAGCTAGGGACGGTCTTGGGGGGCTGGGAATGTCATTCTGTCTGAGAAAGGGACCACCTGGGGAATGAAAGTCATTTTAAGGGTCCTTGAAGCTGCTAGGAACTCTCACCCCTCTGCTTCCTCCAAAGAATGACCAAATCCCGGTCCAGCTCTCTGTCCTTTAGACTCATCTATGACAGGCTTGGGTGGGAGAAATGCCAGCGTCCTGAGACTCCGATTCTTGTCGGGTGGGTGGGGAGTGGGGGCTTGCCTGAGGCACTGCGGTAGGAAAGATGTGTTCTCTTTCTAGAAAACAAAGGTAGGAGTAGATATCGTATTCATTTTCAGTCCCTTCATATCGCCAGCCTTCATTGCCCCAAGGCTGCAGAGCTCTGCAAAGCTTTGATTTTCATCAGACCCAACATTATTTCCTTCATTTATTAAGAAAAGTATTTAAAATTCTGCACAGCAAGAGGAGGCAGCCGACCTTCAGCATCTGAACCCTCTTTTCTTCCTTCCCTACAACCCCAGTCTGCTCTTGCTGTGTTAGTCTAGAGCAGCCGACCCGTGGGGAGTGGGCGGTGGGTGAGGGTGGGGTTGGGGGTCGGGGGATGCTTCCTTTCTGAGAGAATTTGGTAAACATGGCGACCGTGGCGCCCATTTGCACACGCTACACAAATGCATCGCATTCCCGGTTGTTTGCAGAAAATTTACAGCTGAGTAATAAAAGTTTACGATCGACTCACAAGTTGGATTGGCCACAAGAAGTCATGTGGATTCCATCCATGAACGTGAACTTTTTATTGTGGTTTGTCCGTTCCGAGCGCTCCGCAGAACAGTCCTCCCTGTAAGAGCCTAACCATTGCCAGGGAAACCTGCGCTGGGCGCTCCGTTCATTACCAGTAATTTTTTTTATTAATCTGATTAATAATTATTTTCCCTATTTAATTTTTTTCTTCCAGGTGGAGTTGCCGGAAGCTGGGGGCACCTGGGGAGGGCGGGGTGGTAGGGGAGAGGCAGGAGGTGAGAGCACCTCCTTCTCTCCCTATTCCCGACCCTCTGGCCCCCAAGGGGCAGGAGGTACGCGGGTGTGGGAGCAGAGATCCAGAGCTGCAGACGCCTCCACCCCTCCCCTCTCCCAGGCTCTCCCTCCTGCCCCTTCCCTGCAACTCTCCTTAATTTTATTTGGCTTTTTTTAATTAGGACTTTTCTTTTTTTCTTTTTAAATTTATGTAAAGTAAGTGTGTGTGTGTGTGGAGCTGAGACAGGCTGGGCAAAGACACAGAATGAGGAAAGACGAGAAAGACAGAGAGTGGGAGAGAGAGAGACAGAAAGAGAGAGAGGGAGAGAGGGAGAGTGACAGCAGCGCCCGGTAAGTGTTTCCTTATTGGTTCAAATATGTAACTAATGGTCCGTAGCTGGGTGGCGGTTTCAAGATAAGGGTAGCAACGGCTTGTCTTGGTTAGAGAGGAGAAGGGGGGGCTGGTGAGATGGTGGGAGCGTGGGTAATTAAGGGGAGGTAAGTGGGGGACGGGATTAACGCTGAAATACTGATAACTGGTAGTGGGGAGAATATGTTGTCCTGATGTCACTGTGCGCCGAAGTTGGGGGTCCAGGGCCAGAGAATCTTGGCCCGTGGGGCTCAAGTCCTAGTCTGGGGCGCGGGGCCCTCTGCCTGATGCCCACAGTGTCTGTACCTGCTCGTTAGAGAGCTTGGCTGATGGACCTGGGATGTGGTGGCCTGGAAGCTCAAACTTCAAGGCAGTAGAAAGAATCTGTAGCCTGGGCCCATTGCTCCCTAAGCAACGCCAGCCCCTTAACCCCCAAACAAACTTTTCAGCGCCCCCTCCCTGTCCGGCAACCCCCTCCTTCCCGGAGAGCTAGAAGCCAGACCTCACACATGCGCAGTTTGAGCCCAGGGCCGGGCCGCGGAGTAGGAAGCCGGCGCAGCTAGCCGGGCGGCAGAGCCTGTTAATTGGCAATTAGGGGGGAGGCTGGTG